TTTTGAAAGTTCTATCCATTCCTTTATTCCATACTTCTTGAAGTTGATTATTATAGACTAGGCATTCTAGCAAATATAAATAGAGTTCAATGTATACTTCAAATAGTAAACTAAAGAAAAGAGAATATAATTGATACCCTAGTTAAACTTTTACAAAAATATGATGAGTATTCAAAACTATAAGTCTCACAACAATTGTTATAACAAAGAGAAATCAAATTTAATGAAGAAGTAGTAATATTATCTAAAATATAGACAGTATTATTACCAAGATACTTGAAATTAATGAAACAATCTTTTACAAAGAACAGATTTTAACTTGATACTTATTATATCTTTGGTAATTGGAAAAAGGTAATAAAGAAGATCTTTTTTAGTTCTATATAGAAAATAAATTTTTAGAAATTATCAAAAATCCAAAAGAACTATATACTATAGATTCAAACCTCAATTAATAAAAATTATTGAATGAATAGACAATAAATCAATAATAGATAATGAAATTATAATGATATGTATCCAAGAACAAGAAGAATTAGATTTCTTAAGGCTTCAAGAAAAAATCAAAAACTAACTATATAAGTAAATATAGTTCATACACCAATAGAAATAGAAAGCCAGTTTATTAACTAATCTATATTTTATAAAAAAAAAAAAGAGAACTATAGACTTGAAATGATAATGGCTAATATCTTAGGGGAGTCTGAAAGAGAACCAAGATTTATTTAGGCAATATACTAAAATAGTCATAAGAAAAGAAAAACCTTTTGAAGAAGAAATTCATTAATGAAAATTAATGGTTAACCTTTAAGATATAAAAGGAAAAAGATATTCTAAAATGTATAGAGAAAATAGATTGAAAAGAGGACAACTTTATTATTTAACAAATAATTTCATAAGCTATAGATAATACAAACAAAACTAGAAGAGATTTAGATAAAAAATCTTTTGTAAAACCAAAACTAAAGAAAATATTTCTATCTATATATCTGCTTAATTATTATAGATCAAAAAGTTAGTAAACATTATATAATATCAATGGATTTAACAAAATTGAATGGAGAAAAAATGAAGTTATCAGATTTTAAAACAGTAAAATTGTACATAGAAACTAATGTAGGAAAGAATAAAAAGATAGTTATATATAGAATATATCTTTTAAAAATCTTATCAAAAAAGCTTTATTATCAAACTAATCAATAATAAACTACAAATATTATATAAATTAGTTATAAGAAGATATAATCTATATAATTAAGTGAAATGTATTGTATATAGCTAATAAAATAAACAATAGAATATTTGCTAGAATGCCTAGTCTATAATAATCAACTTCAAGAAGTATGGAATAAAGGAATGGATAGAACTTTCAAAAGCTTTAAAGAACTTTTACAAGAAAGAAGAAAAAAGGCTTAGAAAAAAAGTAATAGACTAAATATTAATAATCAGAAAAAACTAGGAGAGTTTGACAAGTGGATTTTTAGATTAGTAAAACAAATCTCTATAACTAGTCAAGATACTTTAAGTTTTTGTACTAATCTTATAAGAAAGAATCTTATTATAAAAATGGCAAATTTAAAATATTATGACAAACGCATAGGAAAAGAAACTAAAAAATAAATAATAAAGATATAAAAAAGAGTTTTCAATCAAGTTTAAAAAAGAATTTGAAACACAAGATATGAAAAAATAATAGAATAAAAACAAATTCAAAAGATTAGTATAAAAGATAAAATAAAAAGACTTTAATCTTTTCAGATCAAAAAACTATATTTTTAATAAGAAAAGAACTAATATTGGAAGAAGGAAAACTAAAAAATAGAAGCCTTAAGAAGATTATCATAAAAGGAGTAGAGTATAAAATGAAGTGATTAAGATTTTAAGCTTGATTAGAATATCAAAGAGTAATCTGCAGTAGTGACTTATAAACAATGAAATTAGTAGTTAAAAAGGTTTTTACCTAAGCTATTTAATGAAGTGATAAATCATTTTTGATGTCGCATTTAGAGTTTTAAGAAATTTAAAATAGAAATGAACAAGTTAGGTAGAGATTTAGCTTTAATAAAACATTTAATAATGTAAAGTATACAAATGTTTAATAAAATACATATACCTAGTCTGACTAAGTGCTTAAAAAAATGAAATATTTAGTAACAAAAAGTAATAAAAAATTCATAAATTTCAAAAAATACAATTTTATTAATGGAAATAAGTGCCTAATCAATTTAGAATCAAAATTAAAAGGTAATCAAAATTTATTATATCTTATTTTTATAAATCTCAAAAAATCAAATAATAGAATAAATAAAAAATAAAGAAAAGTTATATCAAGTTTTTTCAAGATAAAAAAAAAAAAGAAAAAGTGTTAATTGCTTTCAATAAATGTATCAATTCTCTTAAACAATAAAAAAAACAATAAGTCCAATAGTTTTTTAGCAAAAACTAATAACAAAAGTAAAGAACAAATAATTAAACAATAATATAAATGACATAAATGATATAGAATTATTTTGTAAAATAAAAAAAAATCTTTATTAATAATTAATAAAACGAAAAGAAATAAAAGTAATTAAAATTAGTATGCATAACATAAGAGATATAATAAACACTACAAATAAAAAAAGCTTTATAGAAGAGATTCAAGAATATCAATGGCAAATGGATTTTCAAAACTAAACATTATATAATCACTACTTAGTATCAATAAAGATACCTACCCTCTATAGAGCAAAAGTCAGTCTCTTAATAAGAAAAGAACGGGAAGGTTATATTATTGTAGTCAACTTCTTAATGAAAAAAAGCGAAATTTACATAATACAGATTTATCCATCAACAAATAAAAAAGACTAACCGAACAAGATAAAAAAGATTAAATAACAAAGATTTTATACAGTATATTATAATGGGAGAACCATTTAAAAAAACGGTATTAAACTAGATTTTCACCCGATTAAAAAAATTTTTAAAATGTTTGGTACTACATTACTGCTTTTAAGCTCCGCATAGAAATAATGCATGCCTATGCCATCTTTGTTAATGCGCCGCATTAGCATTTCAATATATAAATTGCTACGCTTACAGATACATACGCACTAATAAACCTTCAACCGCTTACATGTTTTCTCAATATTCAAAAAATCTTTCGGTTCGACCTAGAGATTCTATTTCTTCAGAATCATCACAGGGAACTGGAGCAGCTTTGTTTTTTTCAGTTCCTTCTTCACAACCAGAGGCAGATATCCTTGAATCTATATCGTTGCAGACTTCACAAATTCAAAACTACAATCAATATGACGAAGAAGACGAGTATCAAGGATCTGAACCTGAAGCAGCATTTTTAACAGATGTCCCAAATGAGAATAGCCAAAATAAGCAGGTTGATTTTGATGCAGCGCTTAAAAAAATGTTCTAAACGTATATATGACAAAAAGATTTCTATATGTTTTAAGACACCAGCAGACATATACAGGGACACACCCATGCCTGTACCGAGAACTTCAAGTAATTCTCTTATTGAAGGACTTCTTCCCTCGACTTCGGTAAGTTTCCTGCAGCCTATTGTCCCTTGCTAGATCTACCTACGATAATATTTGTCTTCTTTTAGATCCCACCCCGACTGTCGTCTGGTACTGCACACCGTAAACCTAAAGACCCATTTTTTGCTGCCTTATTCATCCTAGGTTCAGCAATAATGGTTATAATTGGCATAGTCTTATTATGCACGACGAGTGTAAGAATTTTTATGGCACTATACTCATCTCAAATCATTATAGTATACTGACAAGTCCAAATTTAATCCAAATAGTCATCTCCATTAAAAAACTATCCAGGTGGTTCGGTATTTTTTGCTATTCGAGATAGCACAGGTATTCGATCTAGCGGGACTTTTTGCGAAAATTTTGTCATACGTAAGTAAGAGTTATTGAGATTAAATCTTTTATTATGTAGGCCCCCTCATTTTCGCTATCGTATTTTCTACATTTGTTGGCTTCATATGGATATCCTTACTTCGTTCATTTGTTCAGGTGAGTATTATATGATATTTTAATTGTCTTAGTTTGAACAAATGATCATATTTTTTTTGCATATAGATACTAATATGGGGAGTCGTGACCAGTGTTCCGATTGTTTGCTCCGCAATGTTTATATGGACCATGTGGGAATCTCTCACCGGGGCTCTACGCGACTCCGGAAAACCTGACCCACAAGATAACGGGTGTGTATTATTACGAATTATCAAAATTCGTATTATCGATAATACTAATATATAATAAACTCCATAGTCTTGCGGTTTTGTCTTTCATACCACTGTGCATAGCACTTGGGTTTATTATATTGGTATACTCACAGAAAAAAAAAGTTGAAAAGGCGATCAAAGTTATCAGGGTTAGTACTAAAGATTATCATTACTTATTAACGGAAATTATTGAAGATTTTTTTACATTTTATTTTAATACAGCTTGCTTGCGAGATAATAAACGGCAATCCACAAACACTAGTCATTTCTTTAATGCTTTTGGGAGCGTACGTTTTATTTTCAATAATATGGTTAATATTTTTTAGTCACGTATTTCTACTTGGTCGAATAGTTCAAACTTCAGGTTTGCAATCATTTATTTATTATTTCCCTCATCGGAGATTAAAATATTTTTACTAATATCTAATTTTCTTCTAAGCTACGTGGGTATTTGATAGAGACACGTACTTTATAGGATTCTATCTTATTTTTATGTATTTTTGGACATCATCAATTATATGCAATATTCAAAGGTATACAGCAATGTTCATAGCAATCATCACTCACGACAACTTTACTTACTGGATTATTGTTATCCATTAGGATTACTTTAGCGGGGGTTGTATCAGACTGGTATTTCTACAGGTAGTATCCACTTTTCTGTCATAATTATATTTCATAATTATTTATTGTAAGCTGTATTCCATTCTAGACATGAACCCGAACGCGATATTTCGAAAGATATTGCATATCTTTCCTTTTCCAGAGCAACAACTAGCTCGTTGGGATCAATATGTCTTTCTTCTCTAATTCTTTCAACGTCATGGACCTTGCGATGGATTAACTATTTTATAAGAAAAGTAACTATTTATATTTGTACATATAGAAACATCTCTAAGTGCACTCCCTGTTTTATTCCACAAATGCATGCTCAAGTTTAGTCCTATACATATATAACTTATGAGAAAATTTCCCAATAATACACGCCTCCTTAACTATACCCATTATCCCAAAAGTGCACATTTGGGGGAGTTATATATATATATTATGTGGAATTGAATTTGACTTTTTTTTTTTTTTTTTAAAAAAAAAATCTTAGATTATCAGAGGGAATGCCTATTTATGCTGTGTGACAGCCTGCGTATCATGCATTGATGACATAATAGAAAATCTGAATAATTACGCATTAATATATGCCGGAATATCTGGTGAAAGTTTTTTTACTTCAGCAATTATAGCCACTAAACTATTTCATAGAAATCTTATATTTGGACTGGAGAATGGTAAGCATTTGTGTCGTGCCTTTTTTTTCTCGACGGGATGTAGGCATTTATATTTTAGTCGCGCTACATTTGATTATCATTATTTGAATTAACCAACACGGTTCTTTGTATTACTCCTTTAGACTTCGTCACGAAACTTATCTTGTATATTGGCTCTACAATAGTAGCCTTATTATGCGGATTTGCCACCTTCATTTATGCAACGCATTCACTTCAATCATCATATGGATATGTTGCAGGTATATTCGCGGCCATAATTCCATACTATATTTCACAATTTTATACGCATCTCATGATGAACACGTAAGTCTTTTTTTCGATTTCATTTCTTTTTACAGACCTTATTATTTTAACATTTTCTACAATACCTATTGTAGTGTGGATGCAGCGTTCCTATGTTATGCCATAGATCTTGATGTGAACAAAAATCATTGTAACAAAGCACATGAGGCATTTTCTAATTTTAACATCCAATAGATTAATAATCTGAACAATTCCTTAAAATGAATAAATGTAAAGGTTAAAGTTGTTTGTATTTATAGGTTTTAAATTTTCGGGCATAATAAAATTCTTTGTAAGATATGCGAATTAATTTCTAGAATAGCTTATCATTACTTTATCATATGAATATATGCCAACAAAGCAATAATATTTGGGTGCAGTGTATTTGTTGTAGTCTTAAAAAAATTGTTAATCGATTATTACTATCAGTTAACATATCAAATAAGTAGATCCAGTTATTATGCTGTATTACCTTACAATTCAATTGGCCTATATCATTTTATTGATTGCATTTATTAAAGTAAGCAAATCGACAATATAGATTCATTTAATTATTTAACACAATCCAGTTCGTTTTATTTTATATTGCTAATTCTATTTGTTAAAATAAACTAATACAATAAAATAAAAGACAAATAAAAAGCAATAATAATAATAGAACCACTATATAGTAAGTATATTTAATTTAATACAATTTAAGTTTAAATTATAAAATAGATAAAAAAAAAAGTAATGATAAAATATTAAATCAATAAATATAATCAGAATTTAGAATATACAGTAGGGGACAAAAAAAATTGATTAAATTTTTTAAAAAATTAAAATTTTCATTATAATTTGGAATTTATTTATTTAAAAAATATAAAAAAATATAAATATAAATATTTTAGTTTTATAAAATAATTTATATTTATTTAATAATTTATTTTAATGTTTTTTTAAATTTTATATATTAAGTTGTATAAATATTATAAGTAATATATTATTTTATAACAAATTATATATAAAAT